TACTTGAAAATACCTTGGTATATGATATTGTCCCGACTCTCCTGCCCTCGAGGAAACTTCCTCTGGTTTGGGGGTGGAAGCCGGTTCCAATAACTGCTATGCCGGAGGTTCCTTTCCTTTGCTATGGGAGGTCGATATTGCGTTCATCTTTCAAGCGACCGGTTGATCACCTCTTATCGATCTGTTTGATCCCCTCGGGTGTGGGAAATTTCAGCAATTTGTGGTACTTCTAAGGCACATCTTTCATCTCGTTCAGCCACGACCTTCCCAAGATGATATTTTAGCCCATGTCTCCATCTACTATCACGAAGAAAGCCGTCTTTGTTACGCCCTCGGCCTCTACGAGCAGTAAAATTACCGCTCGGGTTATCACGCTTGCAAGGTTGAATCCAATAAGGAGCTTTGTCGTCGGGATGATGCTCACGGTGAGTTTAGTTTGATCTAGAACTCTCTGTTGTATGATATTTGCGGAACTTCCTGGATCCAATAAAACACGTTTAATTTTAAAGTTTAACACATTTAAAGAGATTACCAGCGTGTCATTATGCGACAGTAGTAGTACGTCCGTATCTTCATCCGTGAACATGATATCATCTTCCCGGAGCCTCTTGCTATAGGTTGTTGAAATTTTTGTCTTCTTTGCGGACGAGAAGGTGATCCCATTAATTTCGTCCCCTCCGAATATCATGTTGATCGTTTGGCGTCTCTCTTGGTTTTGAGGTTTGCGCTTCGCCCCTGCCCCGTCCATAGTTGTTTTGGCTCGGTCACTCAATAATTCTCTGAGCTGACCATCCTTTAACACTGCTGCCACTTCTTCCCGGAGGTGCCGTCAGTCCCCAGTCCGTTGGCCATTAGTGTCGTGGTATTCACACCATAAATTTGGGTCCATCTCGATTGGATCGGACTTTATCGGTCTCGAAAATCGTGCCTATTTGATATCTCTCATGTCCGACACTAACTACACCACGTTGACGTTGAAGTTATACTATGATAACTTTGGATAAGAAGAACCTCGTGATCCCGAGATTTCTTTATCCCGCAACGCTCTATTGTTCCGCCCATGATCGATCGTCCTGTCAATGGTGGACTTGTTTGATATCCGGAATCTCCTGTCACGACCTTCCTTCCGCTCGTACGGCAAAAAACGGCCCCTTGAGGTCCGCCTACCCGGGTCAATACCATCTTTCATATTTTTCATGTTCTTATCTGGTCCTTTGGTCGATGACGTAAAGCCGACCTGATCGTCTTTGATCCTTATTTTTGATTCGTACCGTTTATGGACATCTGCCCAAGTCGTTGCTTGAAACTCAAGCAGACTTTTCTTCAGCTTCCGGGAAGCGTCTGAACTACTCGGGTTTAAACCCTTAGTGAACGCTTCAGCTGCCCATTCATCCGAGACAACCGGTAACAACATCTTTCTTTCTGGAACCGGCTAACGAACCTTCATAATAACTCGGATTCTCCTTGCGCGATCCTGAATATGTCGGACTTTCAGGCTTGTACCTTTCTGGCGCCAGCATGGACCTTGATGTACGAATCCGCGAGCATTTTGAAAGAATCTATGGAATGCTCGGGCAATAATGAGTACCATGTCAAGGCTCCCCTCGTGAGAGTCTCACCAAATATCTTCAATAACACGGACTCAATTTCGTGATAAGCCAGATCATTTCCTTTCACCGTCGTTGTGTAGGTGGCGATGTGTTCCTGTGGATATGAGGTCCCATCGTATTTTGGCACTTCAGACATTCTAATCGCTTTGGGATTAATTCTGGGGCCGCACTCGGATTGTATGGCAATTGGATGTACTTCTTCGAGCTCGGGCCTTTCAATACCGATTGTGCTCCCTGGATTTGGTCCATGTGGGCATTTACTTCCTTCATGAACCGCAAGAGTTCCTCCTTGATCGGATCATTACTGTTGAGGCCAGACCTACTCCCCCAAGCCCCGTCAGAGCCAATTTCGCCCCTGGTGTTGTTGTCGACTCTCTACGTCGTTTGGTTTGTGGGAACAACAGGAGGAACCGGATCTCGCCTATTTGTATTATTTGAAGCGCCTGATAGCGCCTGTTTTTAATCCGTCATAACCTGATCCTGCCGCGTGAGGTAGCCTAGAATGATTGCTTGTTGCTCTTGTAGGATCCTTACTGCGTCTTCTACGTGCCCCTGGTCAGCATCATTTGGAGTCGCCTCCCGTACTTGTCTGGGGTACCACCCGTCATACACTAGCGTGGCATCTTCCCCCTCATTGTAAGTGTCGTTGATTGAGTCCTCGAAATGGGGTGTTCCCCTTGAACCTCAGGAATGTGAGTGTTATTAACGGTATTGATTGCCATTTTTTGGTGATTTTTTGCTAATATAGAAAAATGATCAAAACTTGTGAATGGATAAAAAGCAAGGACCAATTTTAATCGCACGACTGCCTAGGCCCCACGGTAGGCGCCAAACTGTTTGCTCGAAAAACGGTACAGTTGAATTTGTTTGTGGTTTCTAGACAGATGAATCAATTTCATTATCAGTCAATTTGGATGCAAGATACTTAGCTCAAATGAAGACAAACCGATAGATTTGGAGAGCCCGCGAACCGGGTTTACAGGCGCAATGATAATAAGATCAACAAGCTAGAGAGAAAAACAGTATCAAGATGTTGTATTAGAATCTATTCTTTGATGTCTAGAAAACCCGTCCCTTACAATGATAGTTGAGCCTACTATTTATAGCTCAATGGGCGTAATGGTCGGGCCCACCACTAATGATAATTATTGGAATGTGATAATGGAAACATAACGGTAAACATAAGTGCCCAAATTCTATAATAAGTCGTTACCCTTTAATGTTGTGAAATATTCTTCATCAAATGCTACCGGGCGTGGCATGCTTAATGCCTTTATGGACTTGCCTTTCTCGGTGACATACGCGATAAATGTGCCCGGTTTTTCGCCCTCCCGGCTTTGATTCCACGTGTCCCCTTCTTTGGTGGCCATGTACCGTCGTATTTTACCCAATACATTACTAGTATTTGAAATATGCCCTTCATTGTCTATGGAACACCCCATAAAATTGGAATAATAAATAGAAGATTTGAAATGGCCCTTCGCAAATTCATTCAAATACTTTTTTTAAAAAGAGCATGTCTTTGTCCGTACGTGAAAAAGAAAATTCATCCAATTATAAAGGTAAAGTTTAGTGGGTTGTTAGCCTACATTTTCCATTATAATGGAACATGACGTTTTTCTATAATTTAAAATTTTTAATACAGTCAAACCTAGAGTATTTCTATTTAACAGTAATTTACTATAAAAATTAAGTTTTCTTTATAATCAATTTTTTAAGTTATATTTTATTTTTTTATAATATTTTTTTTTACCTATAACAACAACAATCATATTCATAGCAGAACGCTCTTTATAAAATTAATCATTTATAATAGCCATATAGAATTATTAAAATTACTAATAATAGTTTTTAAAATATCCACACAATCTTGTCCATTAACAAAATCTCTATCTTGAGTAAGATATAAGATTTGAAGATTTGCACATGATATATTTTTCGTTGGATAAATTCCAAAAAATATTTAGATAAAAATTTAACTTTTAAACTCTTAGACTGTTTTCAAGGGAAAGCTATTGGGTACCTTTTTGTTGAAAATTTGGACACGAATCTTCGCCATTCAAGCATTATATCCCTGAGTAAATCTACAAAACAAGCTACAATTACAAAGTTCTTTCATCAATCTTGAAAGAATTTATTTTTCTAGGTAACAACTTTAAAATGTTTGTCTTAGAGTTTAAATCTTTATACATTTAGTTATGAATTTATTAATAATGTATTAGCTTTCTTCAATATTTAACTAGTAAAATATGCATATCTTTTGAGATTTTAAATTTGAATAATTTTCTTATCTTTTATATGTAACATTAAAAAGGAAAAATAATTAATTTTTGGATAATATTTATGTATAACAATAAAAAAATATTTAAATGTCAAATGATATTATAGGTGTATAACAGTCATTCACTATAAAACCAAAAAATATTGGAACAAACGAGTATATTATAGAGATGGTTGACTGTATATCATTGTTAGAATTCTAGTGAATCAATCTCTCAAAAAATTTCGTTTAGTTTCCGCATAGGAAATCAACAGCTGCTCGTTGGCATATGATGTGAATTTACACCTATTTTACACCAATAATGTAAATATATGTTTACGCCATTAGAGTAATTTAATCATAACAGGTCGTAACAAATTGCTTACCTTATTTTCAGGTTACGAAAAGTAACATTGTAATAAGTATATGAAAGTGTCAAAAAATCTGTTTAATAGCATGTTTGGCCAAGCTTCTCCAAACCAAAAGTATTTTTAATATTTTTTTTTCAAAGTTGAAGTGTTTGACCAATCTTTTAGAGCGGGAAAAAGTGCTTTTAATATAAACATAAGCAATTTTGGAGAAGCATAAAAAAAGTAGATTCTCTTCAAAGATACTTTTTTGAAAAGCATTTTTGAGACAAAATACACTTAAAAGCAATTTTTAAAAGCTTGGTCAAACGCTAATTGATGCTCAGAAATGTTTTTTAAGTAAATTAGTCAGACACAAACTGCTTCTCACCAAAAACACTTTTGAAAAAAGCATTTCTCAAAATAAGTTCATTTTTGCAGCTTGGCCAAACATGCTATAAATTAATGGCCAAAAACATTTTTTATATATATATAAAAAAAAGTATTTTTTTTCAAAATTGAAGTGTTTGGCCAAGTTTTTAGAAGAAAAGAAAGTGTTTTTAAGTAGAAGCAGAAGTAATTTTGGAGAAGCAGAAAAAAGTAACACTTTTTTGAAAAACACTTTTTAAAAGTTTGGTCAAATACTAATTGTTACTCAAAAGTATTTTACAAATTAATTAGCCAAACACAAATTGTTTATCACCAAAAAAACACTTATCTAAGTAAGTCTTTGAAACAAATCTTGTGCAGTAAGTAGATATTACAATGACTCAATAAGCAAGGTAGAGCAATGAATGTGTTATTTCTTTGATATATAGGAATTGAAGGAAACTCTTGGTGTGAAACTAAAAGAGTTGTCTCTTATAACAACTTACAGAAATGCTTAGCAAGTTCTTAGGAGTACAAAATACTAGCAGAAAACAAGAAGAATGATCACAACAAATGACTAAACAAACACTTTTCGATAAAATGCTGGATAGGAAGCAGGCGACTTTCTGCGTGCTGCTATTGGGAGCGTCTTCACTTGGTGTAGAGAACATCTTCCCATGGGTGACGGTATAGAGGCTGCTTCAATCTCTTCTGATCAAATGTGTGCCTGAAATTCAAAAAGGTACGTTACAATTGTTTGACGACTAAATTTCATAGTTAATTTGAAGTGCACCATTGGAAGGACGAGCCAACTTACCCGATAAGACCAATAGAACGTGCCAGCACAAACAGACCATTCAGGTAACCGATCTCTACTATTTCATCGATTTCTGGTTTGGTGAACATTCCGCTACCAGCAAGGAGATCCAAGAAGAGAGTACCAATGGCGCCATCAACGTTGAGGACTAGGTTGTTTGCCTTTGAGAGTGTGTAGGTTTCAACCTGAACCGCGTATTCCATGTACTTAACAGAAGGGAAATTTTCCCTCGCGTAAAGCTGCAGTAGTTCCACTCTCTTATCTCTGTTGTCACCTCTCTTGATCCTATCACACAAGAAGTAGATGCAATGCATGAGCTCCATTCAAAGAGTCACACAAGTGTCCAGTGGCGGAGCCACCTTAGGCTAAGGGGTGGCAATTAACACCCCTTTGCCGAGAAATTACACTGTATAACTAGGTCAAAATTTTATTTTTATGTATATATATTATATGTTGAATCCCTTAGCTTCTTTGTATGAAATTCCTGGCTCCGCAACTGCGAGTGTCCGACCATGAAATGCTACAATTTCACAAGACTTTCAAGTACACCATTTAGCTTCTCCAACTACCATTTTAGGGAGCAAGTCTACGATATAAACTGTTGCTTCTACTAAATACGCTTAATTTCAAGAATGAATTAAAAGAAATGCTACCTGTGGCCGATTCCAGGCACTCTGATGCCCTTCTTCTTCATACTTTCGACAAACTCATATGGTGTAAGACCCTGCAAACAAAGCATTGCAAAAGTTTATTAATCCAGACACTCAAGGTAGCAGCAGGAACTGCTTCTACTCTAATAATAGCTTAGATTGTAAGCACTTACCCTGTCATAAGCATCCTTAAAGTATCGGGCAGCATCATCGACAGCACCACCAAATCGGGGACCAATTGTCAACAACCCTGTTACAGAACCACATTATTCCAATTCCAATTGAATGATAAACCCATAATGTAACTACATTAATAACAAATTATAACATACCGGAAACAAGACATGACACCAAGTCTTTTCCAGCCCTTGCAGTTACAATGGAGTTGTGAGCACCAGAGACACAGGGACCGTGGTCAGCACACAACAGAATGCAAATCTGCCAAGTCAAACCAACGGCAAGAAAACAGATGTTTAGAAACAGAACGACGTAGGGGCAGAACATGAAGTCCAATATAATCAAATTTTATCACTTATTCAAAGAACAATAACAATGCAATCACAACTAACTTACCTCAATAAAACGTGCACAATAACGGGGGAGACTGCGTTTGAACCACAACAGAGAAATGACATCACCAACACCTAATCCTTGCTCCACAATAGATGACATGGGTACACCAGCGTAGCATGGCTCTTCACCTATAGATAGAAATGGAAGACAAAATCAGCATTCCTTCTGACTCTTATTTAGCAATAAGAAGGCAAAATAATCAATAATAAAATGTAGTCAAATTCAGTCCATACCTCTATCATCAGATATGGTGGAAATAATATGAGTTGGGGCTCGAACTTTCCCACTCTTAATTGCTGTGTTGAGATCCTCAGGAATTTGTGGAGGCGTTATTTCCTTTACAGGAGTTGTTTTGCCATCCGAGACCTATGAAAACGACCAGGTAAACCTATTAAAACTAATACCGAGTAGATGAATTGTTATTGAGTGTGCTCAATATCAAGGGACTCACCAGCTGTTCAAATGCTTCTTTGATTGCTCCTTCAAAAGCTTCATATGAGGTGGGGACCATGGCTCCAGCATCTTTGAGTGCTTGATTCTTTGCTTGTGCAGACTCCATTTCACCACCGCTCTTCGCACCCTATTTAGAGAGTCCCATGAAAAGTTAGATTTGACGTGTGAACTAGACTAGTAGAGGCAGAAAACTGCTTCACTGAATCAGCTCTCAGTACTTAAAGAGACAAGACATTTATCTGCATTTTACGAGAAATGAGGGAATAAGGTGAAATAGCTCACCGCATGTCCAAACTGTACTTCCGACTTGAAGAGTCTAGCACAAGTTCCACTAACCCATGCAACAACAGGCTTGTTGATTTTTCCCTGCTTCAGGGCTTCAACTAAGGAGTATTCATCTCGTCCACCAAGTTCCCCAAGTACCACAATCATTTTGATCTAAGATTTCATAAGAGAAAAGTAGATCAAATTGAGAAGGGGAAGGGCAAAATGGTTCAACATATAGTTGATCATGCCCTATTAAGGTTCTAGTTATACGAGGATGGTGAAATAAAATGCGACTTGAGTCAAAATTTAATGTTTAGAAACGAGCAAAGTTACCTGTGGGATATTGTTGAAGCGCAAAACATGATCAGAAAGGGTAGATCCAGGAAAGACATCCCCACCAATTGCAATTCCTGCACAGATCGAAAATTCACTCATATTATATTTCTAAGTACGAATGAATATAAAAGTGTTCTAAAGCATAATTCAGGATTTAGAATGCCCAACCTTCATAAACTCCGTCAGTCACACGGGCAATTGTGTTGTATAATTCATTAGACATACCACCCTATATATATTAAGAGAAAAGTTAGTACTATGAAACCACAAAAAGTTGTCTTGCTCTTTTATGATTCCACCTAGAGGAAATAACTTAACCACAGTTGAAAGTTGTGAGAAAAGACGGAAAGACATCACACATACTATCTTATTTAATTGAAAATTGTTGATATTAAAGTAAAAAGTTGGCATAAATCTACCGGGGTGAAGGGGATAAATACATCTTTGACAAACCAGAGATTTCTTCTATGTATCAAAATAGAAGATGTAAAGATACTATTACTTACAGATTTGGAGACGAAGCCCACAGATCCAGGTCTGTAAAGCTTGCACTGAATAATGTTATCAATCGTTCCAGCAGTATCACCAATCTTAAAAGCTCCAGCTTGAATCCCTCCGACAGTAGCTGGACCAATAACCACCTGAAAAAATGCACATATTATAAGCCACAAGGTTCGATAACTTCTGAAACATGAAACTTGTCGATAAGAAGAGTTATTGACTCCAGGAGAAAAGAACAATGATAAACAAGATTAGGTAATGGCTAAAATAGCACTTTATGAACTCATTCTTCGCTCGAGTATCTAACATCAGTCAAGAATGTGCCAGGAAAAAAGAAAAAGAAAGATACTAGATGCTGAAGGACACAACAAGAATGATGTAACAATTAGTATACCTTATTATTTGCCTTTGCATAACCAATAAGCTGTTTGGTATCCGACTCAGGAACACCTTCAGCTATAATAGCCACAACTCTGATGGTTGGCTGTTTTAGAGCGGACATGGAGGAAGCAGCAGCACTGTGATCACGTAAGAAGGAAAAATCAGATATAGGAGCAAATCTTTTGTAGTTTAAGATTTAAAAAAAAGAAAGAACAAACCAGGAGGATGTTTAATACTACCAACCTTCTGAAAGAGGCAAAGTTTATGAAAACATCAGCTGTGGGATGAGCAGCACAGGCAGCTTCAATGCTGTAGAATGGGTAAAAATTGCAAATAAGCATCAAAATTTATAAGACTCCTCAACCAAAGGTCTGTAAAGAAGGCAAAGTTCATTCATATTCACTATAGCTTGTTTTGTTTGGTGGTTGTAGATAGCTTAGAATTAAGACTATCATTTATCTGAACTAGTTCAAACTGAGAAACTAAAGCAACAAGTCTATCGACATGTGCTTATATTGCACAAATTTCAAATGATATAAAGTAGAACCAAAAGTTAGAAAGTCACATGATCTAATTTGACATTTGGCACTCAATTGTGCGAAATTTGAGTAACAAGATTAAACCTATAAATATTAAATTTGTACCAAAAGACTAAATATGATAAAAGAGTACCACATTGAAAATGACTTCCAAATGAGGCCCTTTAAAATGTCAGCATGGAAATATAATCACTAAAAGAAATCAAATACAGAGAAAAAAAAAGCAACGAAGGGACGGATTTCACGCACGTAGAATGTACTGGAATTGCAATTTCCTCCTGACCAAAGAAGAGTTTCTGGAATCCCTCAGAACCAGGGTTGATAATTCCAGCAACAGAAGGTGTTTCTCTCCCTACAATTCAAAAACAATTAATAAAAATGTGAATGAAAACCTTATGACAACAAGTATTATATGCACATCTATTTGCTAGAAAAAAGATTAGAGTAAAAATGTAATACACACCACAAAGGAAATCAAAGTCGAGCATCCGTTGGATAGGAAGCTGCTTGTAGTTATAGAACAAAGCTTGTGTAGTTTTGGAGAAAAGTTGTCCAGTCGCCATTCTGCTGGTTTAATTGAGACCTCTGCAAAATTTACATTATCAGCACAAATATCAAAGCTTAATTCCATCAAAGATAAAGTTTTCCATGGGAGAGACGGCTCATGACTTTTAGACAACCGCCAAAACAATATCTCAACAGGTGTATTCATGTACAATTAGCAATAGTATTTGCAGCCAGATGTAAATGCAATGTAGTACCAATGGGTTCCACTGAACCTAGTACTTTTACACTAAAATTTTGTCAAATACTACGTTTTGAACCCATAATTCTGGAAGGGCGAAGAATTCAGTGATGAGAACATAAATATTCAACACATCAAATTTAGATGTTGGATCCGCCTTTGTTTGCAGAATCTTTCGTATTCAAGCAACCCCCAAGTTGTCCCCTCAAAATCACCTAAAATTACATATAGAACAAGATGATCCCTAAGAGTTTTCTCTAAATTGACCCTTAACAAATGAAGATAAACCGCAAACAGGCTACATCTCCCTGAGTTCAACTAAATCAAAGACTAAGCTACCCAAGGGCCTGTGATAACTGAAAATCAGAACTAAGTATAAATAATAAGCAAGTGAAACTATAAATGTACTCAAGAAGGATACTAGTTGAATGGACAAAATCTAACAAGCAATGAGAAAGGTGATTCCAAATGATGATTTCAAAAGACATGATATACTAAAAACTCATTAAAAATCAAATCTTTAACATGTATACAAAGCATGATATACCAAATACTCGTACAAAGATCAGATCTTTAACACGTAAACTCAAGGAAATGCATCTTCAGTCTCCCAAAAAGATTACAACTTTAAAATGACTCTTAAAGCAGATCTTTCCTAGATCAAAATTCTATACAAACAAATCAAAGCATGTCACCTTAGAGACATCGAAAATCGCACGAAACAAAATAGAGATTCAACAACTACAGCAGTTATACACTAACAGACAGAAATCCAAATCGACAATTCAACAGTAAAATGACAAAAATGCAGATCCCATCTCAAAAATGGAAAAAGGAAACAAACATAATATTATTCAAAACTGGGTCAAAACAATAAAATGATAAAAACCCAGATCACATACTCTAAAAAGAACAGCAAGAATCCAAATAAAGAAAGTTTTAGGAAACAAATTGTTAGTATTCAAAATGTACCAAGTATGTATGTTCTAATTGATTAATAGACAGTAAATTTGAAAGAAAAAAAAAACAGATCCCAAATCAGTAACAACATTAAGAATTTGAAAAAAAAAATACTGTAAATGTAAAGGAAACTAATAACAGAATTTAAAAATTTACCAAGTATGTATATTCTTGATTAAATGGAGATGGAGAATGAACTTGTTCCCCCTAAGTACAGTTGAGGTGAGTGAAATAGTTAGGTAGTTGGTTGGTTGAATGGTGGAATTGAGTTAGATGAGTGTATGTATATATATATATATATAAGGGGTATGGGTGGCTGCTGCAGAGACATAGTAGAGTGTGTGTGTGTTTGGG